TAACTATTGAAAGTAGAGACTCCAATATAAACCAATTTATTCCTCATGATACGGACTACAAATCATGTTATGACAAGGTTTCACTCAACCCACTTCCTCTAGGTCTAATTAAGCTTGAAACTGACCTATCGATTTTGGGAAAAAAAACTGTTTTTTACCTTCAAAAGCCACTGGGAGGGGGAAGTATCAGATCTGTGATGTCTACCCTTTGTTGTTACCTGCATGGGTAATATACTCTCGTAGTTTTGAACCCCGTATCTATTTTCCAAAATATTCCAGAAGCTTCCAAACTTTGCTCTGTACCCCAAATCGGGCATTTTTAACATCTCATATCTTAAGTTGAGAAGCTCAGAAAATTCTGAAATTCATAGCAAATAATGCTCTATCTTAATCATTTTCAGGCCTGTACTTACTGCTCGGAATGACAAAACTTAAATCTCTCGTTTTTTATACCGAATAAGGAACCACTAATACCACTGAATGCAGGCAAGCCAACTATTGATGTACTTGATTTTTTTTGGTAAAATTCAAAGTGCCCACACTTCGCTCTCGGTTGAATATCAAAGTTGTAATTTTAACTCCAAGTTACTCTAGAATAGAGCATCATTCGCTATGAATTTCAAAATTTTCGGAGTTTCCCCACTGGAGATATGAAATGTTAAAAATGGCGGATTTTGGGCTCAGAGCAAAGTTTGGAAGTTCCTGAAAATTTTTGGAAAATAGGTACGGGGTGCAAAGCTATGTGATTATATTCCCCATGTAGACAACAACAAAGGACATAAACCACAGATCTGATACTTTCCCCCTCCCATTGGTTTTTGAAGGTCAAAAACAGCTTTTTTCCCAAAATCGATAGGTAAGTTTCAAGCTTAATTAGACCTAGAGGAAGTGAGTTGAGTAAAAACTTGTAATAATATGATTTGTAGTCCATATCATGAGAAACAAACTGTTTTTTATTGGACTAACTAGCTTTAATAGTTATCGAGATACAGAAGCTAAAGCAAACCTCCATTTCAGCTGAAAACGCGTTTTTCGCATTATAAAAACGGATGTACCGGGAGAACCGAGTGGATTAAAATTTTTTTCAGTATTTTTGAAGTGTGAAAATATGTAGAAATAATGTACAAAATACATTTTTTTAAATGGTCGAGCGACGTATCTGGATAACTTCACATGGAACGACCAGACATACGTTACCAGCCGCAATGCTACAGCTGGCTATCCAGCCGCATTCTCTAGCTAGCCAGAAAATAATAAATCAGCGAATATTTATTTTTGACATGGAAGGTGGAATGCGCATAAAACGTAACTGTATGCATTCAGAGTATATGAGGTGCGCACTTTACACAGTTAAACTGTGAAATGACATGGTGTGCCTGTCACAGAACGCTCCAACGCTGCTCTTCTTCACTCACGTTCCTGACAACATCAATTATGTGTCAACTAAGGGAGCATAATTTTAGTGACAAAGCAGAGACAAATCGTGCAACCCTCCGTTTAATACAGCTTGCTTTTTGTTACTTTTTATCTCTCTCCTCTCGCTCCCACTTTGGGGCACAGGGCTGATTTCTCAGTTTCATGGTCATTTTACAGACGGTTGGACTCCTTGGATCAGCTCGTCGTAAGGACAACACAACACAGAATAAACACATGGAGCTGAGCCCTTCTTGAGGAGCCGCCAATTCTGCAGCTACTCTAGAATTTCCCAGCATTTTATGGAACCCGAAGCTTCATTACCGTGTTCACAAGAGCCCTCCACTGGTCCATATCTTGAGCCAGATCAATCCAATCCATCCATCCATCCTCTCTCTCTCTCTCTCTAAGATCCATTTTAATATTGTCCACCCACCTGAGCCTTGGATTTTCCAGTAGAGTCCTTCCTTCTGGCTTTCCCACCAATGTCCAATATGCATTCCTCATCTCCCCCAACAGAATAAACACATATATATACAAACCATCCATACCTTGTGTGGGATTCGAACCCACAATCCCGGCTTCCGAGGGAACGGAGAGAGTACATGACTTAGACCGCTCGGCTACCGTGACCGGGTTCTTTTTACTTACTGCACATAAAGTTATAGATCTACTTGATTACTTCACTGGTCCTTATTCAACACATTAATACTGTGAGCTTCATTTGCAACTTGAGATACGTTTACGTCAACCCTAAGCATTTTCTTGTAGGTTCCTACTTCTATAGCAACAACAGTCTCAAAGGTTCGGGCTCTCGTTATACTCGTACATTTTAACACTGACAAAGTTTCACTCCAAACCTTTACAAGTAAATATCTCCCACCATAAATCGTACATAATACAGTTCATGAAAATTCGTTATTAGATCGAAAACAAAATTCTCTCTGGACAAACTTCCATGGGGTATAACTTCGGCGGCCATATATTCATCCAGTCTGGTTTGGATTTATGTTGAAGAGCTGGGATAAATGAGTCAGTAGCGTGGATATGGCCTGGACCTGTTACCCAGCAGACACACGTTTCTCTTCGTCACCACATTTAGACCTGCTATATGTTCCACCCATCCTACTGCCCAACTGGTACAGAGAGCATCGAGAGAGGCCGTAGCGTGAAGCTCACCATCCATCTTCATCTGTATCAAGGTTAAAAATGTCCCACACATGCCTTCACAGCGCGTTACTTAGGAGCAGGGATAACTCTACAATTTCTTTCTTGTAAATGTGGTCCACTAGTTAACATGGAGTCCTACGCACAGTTTTACACATAACGAGATGTAACACGTATCACAGAGAAGTTATATTTCATGATAATCTTCTTGCCCATAAATTTAAATGATGTATCGTTTTGGCGAAAAGTTTAGGTTAGTAAAGCAGATACACTGCATCCCACCTGGTTCATACGGCTTTCATTACACTGTACCTTTCCGAAAAAAAAGTGACTGGGGTCCGCGGTCCACATATTTCTATTCACTCATCAACTCTGTAAGCAAAACACAGACTGAACTAACGTTTATTGCTTTCAGAACCTCTTGTGTTCTCACGAACTCATATTTTACTGCCAGCAGAACCAGTTGTATGTGTAGAGAAGTGGGTCGGCACGGCTTCCTCCATAACGTCAAGCGCCCATAAACAATGCAGGCAAGATCATACAATGCCATGGAGCTCTGTAGCAATTTTACGCAACGCTGTCAGTTCCAACTGCTCATATTCTACGTATCTCTAGTCCTTTTGTTGGACCTTGGCCGCATTTCAGTTTCTTAATCCTACACACAGTCAGTGGGGCTCCTTAGACGGGGGATCAGCCCGTCGCAAGCCCGCTACCTACACACAGAACACAAACACAGAATAAGTACACACAGACATCACTGCCTTAGGCGGCCCAAACACGTACGAGTCTGGCTCGGCGAGGAGCCAGACTCGGATTAATTTCACAACACACGTATGAGCGTGGCGACCCACACACGGACGAGTTTGGCTCATTGGAACCCGAACCGAGTCGGACTCGCGAGCCAGACTCGTACGTGTATGGGCCCCCTTAGACCGCACGGCCATCGTCATCGGCAAAAGGACGTGTTGTTCCCAAGCGGTCACCCATCCACGCATTAACCACGCCCATTGTTGCTTAACTACAGTGATTTGACGAAAACCGGTTTAATCTTTCACGGATCCGAAAGTTCCGTGACGTTCATAGCGGACCGACACTGGATCTACATACGTAATATTACAGCGAAAACGATTCTGAACCATGTTACTGGCACCTGGAAAATCAGAAAAGAAAACCGGAAAAATTCAAATCAGCAAAAATTAAATTTACATACTATTCACCATGTAATGCGTACGAGACTACATAAACGAAACGCAGAAAATATAAAATAGTAGATGTTTCAAACACCCTCAGTGGAACTGGATTCTGCCGAAAGAACTGGTTAAAATATATACAAAGTGGAGGTAAAGTTGGTAGAGCTGTCGCTATGCTTAATTAAACATCACTTCGTGAAGGTGGTGGGTAGAAGTATAGTTCCACGCACGCTGGTACTCACTGAAAGGGAGGCTGGGTCAGCCCCTGAAGAGAGAAATCTCATGCTCTTGCTGGAATCCGAACCCCGGTGCCCCCCTTATCGCCTAGTCATTAGACCGACTGCACCGAATCAGGACAAACATAATATCAAGGCATGCTCTGGAATATAAAACACTGCGACGAAGAGAGCCTGGACACCGTGTACAACTGGGCCACCCTGTCGCGGTAGCGTAGTTGGTCGAGACACTATGCTACAAGCCGGAAGGTCGCGGGTTCAAGTCCCGATGAGATCTTTGAATTTTCTTCAATTGACCTAACCCTTCCAGCCGCACTATGGCCCTGGGGTCGACTCAACCTCTATCAGAAATGAGTACCAGGAATTGATTACATAATTTTCTTAGGGAGTAAAGCGCGGAGGGCGCGTAAGGCTGACAACCTTACCGCCATCTTTGAGCCGATTGTCTAGAAAATGTGGGAGACTCAACGTCTCACAACCCTATGGGCCTTCACGGCCTGTTACAGCATAGCTTTACTTTTTTTTTTTTTTCTTACCCTGTCAGTGCAGGATATAAATACAGGAAATCTGACACAGTAAATTTTCATGAGTCCCGAGGGACTAGAAATCAAGAATGACTGTGCTGGCGAGGACCAGAGAGACAATACTCAGTTACAACGCAGCGCCTACACAGGAACACCGGCCGCCTCCTGCACTTCTCGATGAAGAGGCCCCATTTCTAAACACGAACCTGTGTAGGACAGAACAAAAACTGTAGCCATAGATCTTGACGAGACCTGGCGCCAAGAATGAATATGCTGGAGAGTCCGACCGACCGACCGACACTCTCAGGAGAGACGGAGATACCATCTCCACGTACACAAATTAGAACACGTAGTTCAGCTTAAACCTTCAAAGTTCACGACTATATGCGTGACCTCGGTATGTCCGACAGCTCGAGGTGCAGTTGAGCAACCTTGTGTTCAGTAATGTACTGGAACAGTGTGGTACTCACCCCTCGAGAATCCCTGAACAAGATGGCGGCATGATGTGGGTCCAAACTGACGTCGGACGCGCGGTGATGCGTCGTTGTCGTTCCTAAGGACAGGCGCCGTCTGTCGGGGTCTAGCGAGCTACGCCTGAGCAGGGCACCTGTGAAGAAACAAGACAGATGTCTTAACAGCGTAGAAATTAATGTTTATGACGTAACTAAATTAATCTCCCTGCATTAAAATATTTTGGTTTTTGGCTATGGGTTTACTCTTTGGTCAATACAGGTCATGGAACGAGAATAATCCTACACAACCTCCAACCCCCAACCCGTAAGGAGGCAATAAAGTGGGAAGCCAAAAATAAATGTGTTATGAACTGCCTCATATTATGCCACACTAAAGTGACGACTTTCCGAAATTTTACGTCTGCATCTTAGAAATAATGCCTCTCACGGTGGCTGCGCGGTATAAGGCATAAACTGTCTTCGCTCGCTTGAACGCTGGAATCGTGGGTTCGAATCCTACTAAAGGCATGGATGTCTGTGTATGAGTTTATTCTGTGTTGGTGTTGTCCTGTGCGTAGGTAGCGGCCTTGCGACGGGCTGATTACTTGTTCAAAGAGTCCTACCGCCTATGTAAAAAAAAGATTACGAAACCGAAGAAGAGGCCAGGGCCCAAACAAAGGGCTGTTGTGCCACTGATGAACGAATGAATTAATCTTAGAACTAATTCTGTGTCGGTGTTCTGGGCGGACAAAATCAAATCGCCAGCGATATGGTAACGTTTAGGGGTTGTGGGAGTGTTGACACAGTGTAACCGATACTTACATCTGGTATCACTGAGTCTGTAATTTATCTTTCCGTTAGATAGGTCGCAGTAACTATGGCCGAAGTCAATTTCTCACTGATGACCAGCCTACGGCACCATATAGCGATCCATCCGTCCCAGAACTGCCGTACGGAAATTATTTAACCTGCGGGTCAATCTAGACTCATGAATCTACAATAAGTTAGCATAATAACGCATCACAACCTTTACGTGATGAAAATTGCTTCCGTATTTAGTGGTGATGCATGACGTGTTTACTTGCTTCATTTTTAATGTGACTACTTGGGTGAAAATTGACCTAAAATCATAGAGTAGCTGGATTACAAATTATGTTAGTTTCAGTCGCTCTCAAAGACAAAGGTCCATACAGCTCAAGTTTTCCTAAGCCCTATATAGGCCGCGCTATAGCTCAAGCGGTTTGTCGCTGCCTTTCAACCGCGGCGGCCCGGGTTCCATTCCGGGTCTGGTCAAGTGGGATTTGTGGCGGATAAAATGGCGCTGGGGCAGGTTTTCTCCGAGTACTTCGATTTCCCCTGCCAATCTTCATTCCACTAATTGCTCCACAATCACCCTCACCTATCATCTGGGGCTGGTACAATGGGCCAGAAGTGGCCGCAGTACAAGGGACTTAGTCCCACCCCACTAACAATAAGAAAAGCCCTGTATGGCAGTTCGATTCACGCCCCTCTTTTCCAGGTGACAAGAATACCTTTCATGTATTAATTTTTCCAGTTTATTTACTAAATGTCTAGTATTACATACACATAGAGGTTCAACGCCGCTAAAATCAGGCCATCCTCTCACAATCCCCCCCACATAAGACCAGATTAATATTATCCTTCAACGTTTTTCTCGGCCTTGTATGGAGCTGCTTCCTAAGAGCCATCACATTTCTGTATGCATTCTTGTTTCTCCCATCGGAATAACTTGTTCCGTCGTAAACTCGTTCATCTGACTGTCCTAATAGGCCTACATCACTCAAGCACAAGAGTCGGACGCCCTTCCTGTCAAGTCGGGCTGTTTAGAAATCTCTCTGTATGATAGGAGACGTATAAATTACTGAGTCCCTCGTTAAGTAATATTTTACATTCAACTTATAGACTACAGCGGAACCGTGCTTAACGAGCACCTCTCATAACGAGCAAAACAAATTGAAAAATAACTCGCTTAACGAGCGACGTTTCGCATAACGAGTGACGAGAGGGGAAGTCCCGGATTGTGCGCTTGCTACATCAGTCTGTGTTTAGCACTCGTTCTGCTAGCATCTTGGTGTCGCTTGTGATCACACATTTTTGTGATTTTCTTGTGCAAAGTTTAATAACCCTTGCAAAAATGTCCCCGAAGTAAATGCCGTAAAAAGACGGCCATAAGAGAATAAAAATAACCGTAGAAATGAAACGTAAAATCATTGAAAAGCGAGAACGAGGTGTGAGCGTGGCTGATCTAGCACGCACATACAATCGGTCTACATCAACGATTTGCACGATTTGGAGTTGCATTGTGTTTCACAGCAAGAAGTTGTGGAGGAGAGTTTGTCAGAGGAGGAGGAGGAAGTAACAGCAAAGCAACAATCTTCTGGCGCAATAAGAGAAATGCTGAAAGCATCGGAAACTCTTGCATCGTACATTGAGAAGCATCACCCTAATAAGGCAGTGGCCATGCGGGCTACAAATTTATTTAATGATAATGCTGTGTCGCATCTTCACCAAATTTTGAAGCGTCGGCAAAAACAAATGTCTCTAGACAGCTTTCTAGTAAAAAAAAAATTGATATGTATCATAAATAATAAACTAATTGTTTCGATTTTTTTTCTGCAAATGGAATTCGCATTCCAGGTTGGTTCATTCCGCATAGAAGAAAAGATGAAGATGATTCACGCTCCTTAACAACGCATATATTTTCTCTGAATAAACGTTATACATAAAATTTTTTAGTATTTTTTCGGCATGGAACGCATTATCGTATTTTACATTAATTTATATGGGAAAAATTGTTTCGCTTAACGAGTGTTTCGCATTACGAGTAAGATTCTTGAACGAATTATGCTCGTTAAGCGAGTTTCCACTGTATTTATTTACGTATGTTACTAGCCTAACAACCAAAGGCCCGTTTTTTCATCTTCGATTCTGTCAAGTGCTAAAGAAAAAAGCAAACAAATTATTTTCGTTCTGCAGAGAACCTCGGTGGGATCACATCCGACTCTCGCAATACTGTACATTACAGCACACTGGTCACTGAGGTCAAATCTAAGTTCATAACAGTATGAATAAAGGTAAAAGGTAACGTTGTCCCTGAGTTGAATTAATTAAGGAGACTGTAATGAAAACATGTGGACGAGCGCAGATAGAGCTGCACCATTCTTGACCTCGGCACTATTTGGAGGTGTTTAGCTTCAAGCCCCGGCCGCTTTATCCCAGGTACCCATTGGACAAAAGGCTTGGTGGGCCCTACAGCCAGCATTGACATTTCGTACCAGCGAAAAATCTCTCAGCTGTGCCGGGAATTGAACCCCGGCCCGTCGATATACTGACTGGGCTATCCGGCTCCTCATATCTGTAAAGCTTCTATCATTCCAGATGAACACTGGCAGTGCGTTCGCCTGCTTGACTGGAGAGTCGCAAGAGAAGATGCCTTACAAAGAGATGAAACTAGTCGCAGGCCGCGTAGAAAACACCGACGATTATCGCGAAAGTCGGTCCGACACAGCAGCGACAGAACCACCAAAGACAGGGGATATCTGAACGGGCTGTAATACTGTACCTGTGTTCAATGCACAATATTTATAAGATGTACAGGCCTGAGTTTAAGTAGTGACACTTATTCAGTAGTTCGAAGATGGGAGTAGAAGGGCTCTCATATCAGAAGACCTAATTCACCTCAGATCTAACATTGTCCAATGTCTGTCCACATACCTGCCAAATTAATTTGCAATGTAACGGTATTTGCCTCAGGACCACCTTTTTCTTTATTGCTCCTCAGATATTTTATTCTGATGTTCTATAAGAAAACTGTCTAATGAGGACCTTCATAACTTGTACTGTTGGGCATATATTAGTATGGTGATCAAATCATGTGCATGGGCAAGGCATATAGTACGCATGGTAAAAGGTTAAGTTGTTGGTGTGCTTAACTAATTAAACGCTAGGCCATGAAGGCGTACGGGCGAGTGGATGTATAGATCCACATTTCCTTGACCTCGGCACTAGTTGGAGGTGAGTGGTCATCTTCACGCCCAGGCCGCTTTACTGCCGGGGAAAGATAGGAGGTTGGGTGGACGTGAGAGCCGGTCTAGATGACGCGGAGAAGGGAAAAATTCTTACCCCCAAAGGGGACTTGAACTCCGACGTCTCAGTCGTCCGGCCCGTAGCCAGTCGCTATACCGACTGAGCTATCCCAGCTCCTGTAGTACGATGGGAGAAATGAAAAATGCAAGCAAAATTGTGTCCGAAAACCCCGAGGACACTCGGGACACCTAGGTACGTCTGGCGGATAATACAAGTATTAGGGGACCTTAAACTGGACGTGACGATGAAGCCTGATTAATGTAGCTCTGGGCCGGGAAGTATGGAAGGGCTCTTGCGAACACAGCAATTAATCTGAGTGACGATTAAATTCCCCGGGTCTCTGAGCCATATAATTAATGATAATACACTGGTATTTAGTAACCTTCAACTGCATTTCGTAACCTACTAGCAATTTCAGTTCAGGATGTACGGTGTAGTCCTGGAACGCAATTACCCCCCCCCCATCAAGGCAGAACCCACTGTAGCGTTAAATGCAGTTCATTATGTAGCTTGCCTGCACAGCCCCTTCATTTCCACGGCGACACATTTCTACTCAGCCTTTTCCCCCATGCACCTGCCGTCTATTGTTTCTCCTTCCTCTGCATTATTAAACTAGAACGCCAGAGACATTCAGAAGTACGAATAACTCATGCCCTACATACATTTCCCACTTTCGAAGTCTGCAGGCTTCCACACTTCGGAGGAAGTAATAGGAAGTCTTCATTTCCAGCGAGGAGTAGCCTCTGACGAGGGCTATTCGTAAAATAACATCTGTTTATTTCAGGCAACTAATGTAGGAGCTCGAGCATGCGAGGTAGCGTCACCTTGTAAACCATCACATAATTGGTCACCTAGTGTTTGTTCTTATCTCTACAGAGTGAGTTATGCTGTGTCCTGCGACTGATAATTCCGGCAGCTGCGAAACTGGCGCTACTGTCCGCTTTATTCCCGCTAAAATCATGAGTGCTGCGGAAATACATCGTGAATTATGCGCGGTTTACGGCAAAACTGTAATGAGCAAACGAACTGTAACACAATGGTGTAAGAT